CAGAGGAGCTCAGGGAAAGGCGTGGATGCAGCTCTTTACTTACCCTTGAACCACATTAGGTAATCATAGCTATAGCACAAGTGACCCCCTTTCTCTATCCTGTTTAGATCTGGGTGAATCTGTCTTCCACAAAGCTCTGTATTCCACATGAACAAAACTTCTCCACATAAACAAATCTACCTTATTGGGAAAAACGTCTTGTAAAATCTCATTTCTTAGATGTCTACCAATAGAACTTAGCAATGACCTAACATCAGCAAACCCAGCCACCAGAAAAATCTAGAAAGTTCCAAATGTTGTGTAACCCATGCAAATGTACATTTTTGCTAAGGAGTGAGTATAGCTTACATCAGATTTTCAAAAGAGTTTATGGTTCCAAAGAAGCTTTAATACCATTACCCAATTTGTTTGAAATATACTGACCTGGTTGAAAAAGAACAGATGCTATTTTAAAAATAAAGTAAATGGTTCTTTTGGGTCTCTTGTTTTAGTGTTCTTAATTAGCTTAATGCCTTACTGTAAGAAAACCTGTTTGCCACCATTCCCATTTTACAGATTAGCAAACTAAGTTCTTAAGGAATTAAAATTAACATCTCACCTAGGGGAAAATGAGAGCTTAACGAGTTCGAACCAAAGAGGAGCAAATTAATACACTGCTCTTAGCAATGGAGGCCTCCCATGTCATAAATAAATCCCATTGGTCATAATACCAGCACTCTGGGAGACTGAGGCAGGAGGACTGCAAGTTCCAGGCCAGCCCAGGCAACTTAGTGACTCAATAAGACCTAGTATCAAATAAAAATAGTTTTTACAAAGGGCTGAAGATAAAAAGAATTCTATGTACTAGACACACTTTACCTACATGACTAATTTAAACATCACAGCAATTCTGCAAGACTTTCTTTTGTCTTCTTGGTTTTTTTCCTCATTTTTCAGAGTTTTTTCAATTTCACTTAAATAGAGTAATATATTTACATATATTCTTTCTCAAGTAATGGAAACCAGAGCTTTAAAGGTCTCAACAAATTGCCAACAACCACATTTCTGATAAGTGTCAGAGAAGGGATCCTATTCCGTATCTGCCTGTTTCCCAAACTCTACGTGGGATAAGCTCCAATAGTTGAATATTTGGAGGAGAATAACACTTGCCTGCACATCAGGGGTAGTTTCTTAGATCTCTTTGTATTCTCCACAGTGACTTGCTACACTCTGCACGGCAAGACACTCAATAAATATTTGTTGGCTGAAGAAACCTGGGCCCAGGCTCCCATTCTGCCATGGACTGAGTGACTCAGTATCCTGAAACTTGGAGCTGCAGGTGGTTACTCAGCTGGGCAACTTCAGGGAACATTTGAAATCAATTATGGGTATGGAGGAACCTATTAAAATTTCCTCTTTTGTGTATGTTGGGGCTGAAGGAGAGGAAAGGAAGTTGAGGAGGGAAAGAAACAGGATGGTTTCAGGGTTGGGTGCTGGAGCTGAAAGAGTTCACACCAAATAAGACAGCATTTGGCTTACTCTACTGCTCAGTCCCAGCAGCCCTACTGAACGGGCTCCTGACCTCAGGCTATTCCTCAGTGGCCGCAACTGAACTCCCAGGCACTTGACTATTGCCTTCATAGAGGACCCTACAGCACGCATTCTCCCTTTGGCCTTGGCCTTGGTCGATCTGCTTCAGCTGTGGGAAACAGACAACTTCAGGTCTACCACTATCATACAGGAAGCCCAGGAACCCCCCAACTCCCTCCCCAGCCCCCAGGCCAGAGAGACCTTCGGTATTCAATTCTGTGAGCCCTGAATTGCCCTTGATCCTCAGTGAAAGCATTCTGGCAGTCCATTCCACTGAGGAGCCCAACTTTCTGTTTTGAAAGAGTATGGGTGCATGGGATGCAAGGAGAGGGTAACTGCTTGATTTTGTTTTCCTTATTGTTACTAGTACAGCAAGTTAGTCACAACCCCCAAAATGCCACCTTAGCCCTTTCACACAGCCTCTACAAAAAAAGATTCTTAAATAAAGCCGATCCCAAAGGATGTCTACCAATGACATTCTGGAAGAGGATGATTAAATTGCAGCCCAGAGGCCAGACAAGACAGTCCGGTAAGAGAGCAGACACACCCCACTACGTGGCCTCCTCCTAACTTGTGCACAAAGCAACACTGCCACCTAGTGCCCTCGTAGGTAGTATTCCCTAAGGTCCCTGGGTGGCGTGTTCTACAAGGACTGGCCTGCTTAAATTGCTTGACATCTCTGCTGAAGAGTAAATACTCCAAGTTTGGTGGATGGAGGACCAGGAAACTTGGTTTAAGTTAAATAGCTAGAAGCTGAGATTTGAGAGCTGTTGGAAAAGAGCATGGGCATCAAGTCTGGTAGCACCTGGGACTGCCTTCATGGAGCGGCCACACTGTCACAGGTGATGGTCTGTAGTTCCCAGGGACATGAGTGTATGTTATGCTTGGCATAGATGAAGGTCAACTGTCCTGAGAACAGGCACTGATCAGCTCAACCACTAAGGTCAGAGGAAGAGAGAGAAGATGGGCTTCTGTTGATAGGTATGTATAAACCACTGCAAATCAAAGACTATTCCTGTGGAGAACTTGCTTTGGCAACTTCACAGTCCTCAGCCATTGGGTCCACTATAAAATATAAGTAGCCAAGCATAAAGAGGAGACAGGGATGCCTAAATTCTCAGGAGCCCCTTGCTAGAATCCTAAAGAATGAACACTTTGTTTTCAACCCCCTGTCTTTGACCCACTGTTAACCTAAATCCTTACTTATACGTACTTCCTGCTGTGTATAAATCTGAAGAAAGGTGCAAAGTGAGAGAAAAAGAGACCTGGGTGTTCTCTGCCCTCAGTTCTGTAGGAGACCTACAGGGGAAGCCCCGGCGTGCCGTGGGGGCCACTTGGATTTGAAGAGAAGAAAACCTCAGAAGAGAGACTGTCTGCAAAAGATTTCCTGCCCAATTTTACATGCTTACAGAGGTTAGAAGAGTTCAGATGAGCACTTAGGAGTAGGCTCAGTGTGTGTTCTGGGGCAATGCAGAGACAGCTGGCGGTGATGGACAGGGGGAAAGGTAAGGAGGTGCATGGTGGTGGGGCTGGGAGGTCAAATCATGACACTGCACACCTCTGTGGACAGCATGAGACAGAAGACATATGAGGAAACAAACAGGGGTCAGGTACCCACAGTCCTGAGTCTTTTTCCCCAGGTTGGAGCTTTAATAACCCAAAGCAATAGTCCCTCAGTCCCTCCCACATGTATCCTCCTTGGATCCTTCTCTAATTCTTCACAGCCAGGGAACTGATCCCAGGTCCCTCCATTGCTACTGCAAAAGGAGGGGTGAGCAGAATTGTGGGTCTCAGTCTAGACTGCAAGCACGCAGTTTCCCTGGCAGATGGGTACTAGGAAGCAAGATTAGGCAGCAAGAAGATGTCATCTGGGAAAAACTGTGAAGCTGCCAACTCTGATCAGATAATCGTCTCATTATTTCTTCCTTTTGGCCCCAGAATAAGGATTTCCTGCTACACGTACTCTGCCCCCACCTAGCTTACAGCCCAGCCCCTTTTCGCTCCCCTTTCCTCACCCCCTCTCCCACCCAAAAATAAAATAAAGCAAAACCACAAGACTTGAGAGTGCTCAGTGTCTGGGAATCCCAGCTTCCAAAGGAGAAATCACAGCCAAAGAGGGGGAGACAGAGTGTCCGGAAGGGATGTTCCAGCAACACCCCATTGGAAGATACTCCTTCCTTCCAGATTTCTTTCTTTGATCTGAAACTGATTTGCAGGGGCACAGCACCCTGAGAAGTTTTCTGCTTGGAGAGTTGTCAAGCAATTCAGGGGCTCTGGAGTTCTATCCCCAGCCTGCCTCTGACATGCCTGCTAGTGCTTCAGTTTCTCTACCAAACAATGTCATGGGACTGGCAAACACCAGAGGGTTGTGGATAATCCAAATTAAGATGGAATGATTTTACTATGTGCCTCACCTTGTGTTAAGCACTCTCCTAGGGGATCCAAAATGAGAATGGGACACTGAATGATTTCTAATTTTCACCCCTTGCTTGAAATCAACCTTCCCAGGAAAGCAAAGAGAGACATCTTTGGGGGGGGGCTGGGTCTCTGTACAAGGGTTAGCATGGCTGAATTGCTTAGCAATCAGCCAAGCAATAGACTCATCTTATTCTACTCTTCTCTGCCTTTCTGGGTGACTTTTCACAAAAGCCAGGATCTATCAATAGCAGAAAATAAATATAGGTAACAATCCCAGACAGGTGCCTCTGATTAGCATCATAATTACACAAGGTTTCATTTTTAGATCCCTCTTACAACAGCCAGGGCTAAAAGCCAGGACTCTGGCTTGGGAGTGCTCACCTTTTCCAGAAGACCCAGCTGTTGCTAGAATGTACACATGGCTGTTGGGACAAAACAAAGGGACCCCAGGACCTCAGACAGGTGCTACCTTCCTGCCTAGTCCCAAGGCTGCTCAGAGAAAAGGCAATCAGTCAGGACTTAATGGCTGTGTACCTGGAATCCTGTTCCCTCACTACCTGGACCAGTCTACACATGACTCACCACTCATGTCCTTGGATTTGCGTTTATTCTCAAAGATGCCTGATCATCCCATACTGACTACAAGAAACAGTGTAACACTTCTACCCTCTTGAAAAAAAAAAAAAAAAAAAAAAAAAACCTGAGTCCTTTCCTTTTAAAGAAGGTGAGAGCTAGGCTGAAGGACTCCACAAAGTGAAAGCACAATGTACAGAAATACAGGAGAGCAATATATGGGTCAAATGCCACTCTGGGGACAGGGTCTTTATCCTCTCTTCCATAGTGTCTGGGATCCTGCTGTGCTAATAAAAAATCAGCCCCCAGCTCCTCCCCGGCCAGCCCTTCCTGGATTTCCTATTCTGTCTGCATCCCCAGTGGCTCCCTGTACCTAACCCCATCACAAATGGGGCCAGCCACACCCCAGGATCTCAGGAAGCTCAGGAGTGGGCAGTTACCTGCAATGATGGCTGGGTTGTTCTGTCCTCCCTCCGGTCTCACCCAGGCTTCCACTGTGAATGCCTCCCTGGGAATGTCAGCCAGCAGTTCTGGATGCAGCAGCAGCCGCTCCCGCCTCCCAGAGAAGTACAAAACAGGCAGTCCTCCTTGGAGGTTAAAGGTCTCAGTTTCCCAGTCCGGGCTCCCTCCACCATTTTGGATGCTGTCCTCCAATGGACTGCTTTGAGCCCTGTGTGTAAGGGGGTCCTTAGACCAATCCTGGAAATGCCAGTGAGAGGTATTGGGGTCTCCAGCCATATCTTTTGCCTGCCTCTTCACCACTTGCCGAGGACGCCTGGTCTTGGCCCAGCCTTTGCTCTGGGTGTCTGCTTCAGGACCCTTTAGGTCTGAAAAGGTGGTAATGGTGACTCTGGCCAAGCTTTTCCGCAATGCAGCCTCACCTAGAGGCTCCTTGGATCCCTGGTTGCCAAGATAAGTGTCATCATCTTCCAGCAGCTCAGATTGCCCAATAGGACCATCCTCTGCCCACGGGGCAGCTGGCTGCTCAACCTCCCTCCTCACTCCTGCTGTATTTTCAGTCAGGTCTTGGGAAACGTGGCTTGCAGCCTTTCCCTCAGCATCTGCTTTACGGTGTCCTGCGTGATGAGCTCCCCTCTCCCCCACAGGGAAGGGCCTCAGGTAGTTCCCAGGACTGCTGGGGTAGATCCCAAAGAGGTGATGCTGGGAAGCAGCTCTAGGTCTTTGAACCTTAGCCCCCAGCCAACAATATTCTCCTTCTGACAGCACCTGTTTCAGGTGTCCCCTCTGAGCCACGGATTTCTTGCCAGTCCAGCCTAGCTCAGAGTTGGTAGTGTTGAACGCCCATCCAGCCAGGATCACCAGGCTTAGTCTCAGAACCTTTAAACACATCATGCCTCCCACAGCTCTCCCTATGGAACCAGAAGTCAATTTCTGGGTACCACACCAGAGTGATGGAGAGAGGAGACAGAGATGATTAGCAGTGGACTTGCAGTCACCGGGGAAACTGTTTTGCTCACAAGCCAAACTTTTCCAAGTAGCCTCAAAAGAGTACCTCTTCTGGCCACCTGTGATGGAGACTGTGCAGCCTGGCTTCTGTGCTGCTCCTACTGTGTATGCGCCCCTCACTCTGCTCCTTTAACTTCTCTTCTACCTCTGTTTTAGTCCTTGCAGAATGAAGTTAATTGCTCTTGTTTCCTTTGAATGTCTTCCCAGCAGCTCAGGTTTCTTCTTTTTCTTTTTCTTCCTTCCTCAATAATTCCTCCCCTCTCTGATACTAGAAGAATATGACATAAGCCAAATTCTCTCAAATACACACTCACAAACACCTACCCTTGGCTACCTAAGGTCATTCAAGATAATCTCATTTGCTAATTTTCATTTCTTTCTCTTCTTCCTTCCCTAGATGTTACCTTTTCTTGTTGTAGCCCTTAGTCCAAAATATGTTCACCTTAAAACAAGTGGCTAGGAAAACTTTATATAGAGATGCAAAATTCAACAGTTATTGATGAAAAATGCAAAGAATCTGGGGTTACAGAAACCCAAGCTGGTACTTAACTTTCACTCTCCAGATGTCCTCAGTCAGGTCCCCATCCAGCTTCCAGTCCACTCTTGCAGGTTAGATTCTTGCCCTCAGCTTGGAGTTCAGGGTTGTTGATTCTTGAAGGCTTTTTTTAATCCCCTTCCAACTTGTTGGTATGTTCTAAGTCTCTGTAAAGTTCTCCTGGTTGTCAGTCTGCTGTTCTCCTAACCAAGTGAGTCTGACAGCCCTCGACTTCACCTCCTGGGAGTCTTGTAGGTCCCTGGGAAGATGGAAAAAGAACACAATGAAAAGCATATATTCAAGGGACCTGTTCCCTCCGGTCTCTCCTGCTCCCCTTCGCTCCCTTTCTCTCTGCCTGTAATTATCTCCTTGTTTTTTCATTTAAAGACAATGATGATGTCAAAGCTAATAAGTTTGGTACATCACTCCACCTACTCCCTGTCCCCTCCTTCCTCCTGAGAACCTCCCCACCTCACAGAGACACAGGGGACAAACACTACCCTTGGTTTCCCCAGTAAACATCTCAGGCTTTCTCTCTCAGCAGCCGCAGCCTACACAATCAATAGCAAACAATCAATACTGTTTTGGAGCACTCTTTCCTCTATTCTCTCTCTCTCTCTCTCTCTCTCTCTCTCTCTCTCTCTCTCTCTCTCTCTCTCTCTGTCTCTCTCTCACACTCACATGCACACACACACATACACACACACATATTTTGATCAGACCTTCCTAATAAACCCACTCTAAGCTTTCAGTAACCACTCACATCTTCTTTCTTTTGTTTTGTCATAAACCTCTGGTATTTTTTTCTTATTTCAATCAATCATTTAAATGAACAACACTCCAAATTCACTTCATATTAGACATTGGGGGAAAGAAAAAATCAATTATCCTGCTGTGAGAAGCATTAAATGGAAATCCCACAGATTCATAGCACATAGATCTTTTTTCTCCAGAGTTTCTCAATCTGAAGTTAGTAAAAGTCACCATATGCTGAGTGAGCAAATAAACAAATGAGATGCTCAAAATAAGTAATTTGCAAAAATGAACAGCTAAACTCAAGGAATTATTTTTTCCAATTGATCTGAAATGAATGGGTAGAATACAGAAGTAAATACTTTGACTTTCAACTCGGTCACGTTAGCCTAATTGTTTTGATGCCCGCTTTCTCAGAGTGTCTGCCCTTTACACACATGTGCATGTACATAAACACATGGGCGCACACGGAGCAAGGTTCTGAATGTGGAGACAAGTAAGCGTGTTTGACCACAGGTGGTACAGAACAGGTTGAGAAATACATTAGGTACTTCACTCAAGACATAAGAAAATCATTTACACTTTTAGAGTCACTGCCTGGGTTGCCCACACCTAAAACATACAGCCCACATACTTTGGAGTAAGATCACAGTGCCTCCTCTGCCTTTGGTCGTGTCATTATCTTCTGAGCTCCTCTAATGCAGCTAATGACTGGCTTACTCGCGTTTAAAAAGCTGCATACAAAACAACCTATCCCTGGCATGCCGCTTCCCCATGTAGCATCCTCTGAATCCTCAAAGTCCCCAAAGAAGCTATCAGCAGGCACGTGGACATTACTGAGCAGAGATCTCTCAGCTCTCGACCGCCTCTCTCTCATTTCCCTAGCTCCACTCACTTTCCTTACTCAGTTCTTCTTCTTTTTCTTCTTTTCTGAAGCAGATCAAGAATAAAAACAGAGGCTTTGGGTGGGAGGAGGATGTAAAGAACATCAGAAAAGCAGAGGAGAGAGAGAGGGAGAGAGAGAAGGGGAGAGAGAGAGAGAGAATCCTGAAGAGAAGTGGGACACGCAGGCTTAGTTTAAGAGAAGGGAAGACACTCAGGTAAGAAAAGGAGAAGGCAGTATCCCCCTCCCCCATGCCACCCCTCGACCCCCTGGTAAAGGTTTCCTACCATTCATTTCAGGAAGGAGGGATAACAGCAAGGAAGAAGGATTCCGCCTGCTCTTCTCCCCCTTTTAGTGTGTAAGTGATCTTGCATCCCCTATAGGTCTCTCCTGGCTCTCAGCTGCTAGTAATCCATTCATAAGGTTTCAAGAAGCAACACAAAACTCAAGCTTCCAGTTTAGTTTCTCTCTCTCTCTCTCTCTCTCTCTCTCTCTCTCTCTCTCTCTCTCTCTCTCTCTCTCTCTCTCTCTCTCTCTCTCTCTCCCCTTCATTCCTTTGCTCACCACTCTCCTTCAGCTCTTGGCAGTCCAAAGTTTAAAAAAAAATGTTGAACCATTTCTGTGTTTTCCTCCTGTTGTAACTTTGGCTGTGACATCATAACCCTGCCCACCAACACCCCACCTCTCTCTCTTTCCACCCCCCCATCAGCCCCATACCCCTAAACATTCCCCCACCCACGGAGAAGAAGGGCTCCTGTCAGATCCAATGTGTGAAAACACAAAGCCATGGAAGGTGCCCCCTCCCTCCCCTCGTGCCCCTCCTGTCTCCCCCTCCCTGCCTCACCCACCGCTCAGCCCGGCTCTCAAGGCTTTTAACAATGATCCCATCTGTTTGACATGTGCGGAAAGGTGGGCTGGATTCAAAGAATCTGTCAAGTGAATCAGATCAAAAACACAGCACCCCCTCCTCAATTCCATCACACACACGCACACACACATAGCCCCCAAACCCGAGCAAAAGTCTGAGAGAAGTCAGACTTACACAGCACCCACCCTGGATGCCAGGGAGAGAGACACCAAACGTGCCAAGGGAAGCCCAAATTTATACATATATAAATTCTGTTGCTTATTTGTTTATGACAAACACCCACACCCCAAGTCCTCAACCCCTCTCCCTCAAACCCCGCCACTTGGCAAGTGCACAGATTTGAAAGCTGGTAGAATCTGTTTTGAAATCTCCAACGAGAGGGTTTTTCCCCCTTTTTTCACTCCAAAGCACTATCTGTGGCGATCAGACTCGAGCAGGGTTGCCAGCAAATGCAGGAGGCCCCTTCTAGGGTACAGGCTTTCAAACCAGTGAAGCTAGAGGGAATGAATTTAAGGACACACAGCAGGAGCTGGCTGAATTCATTTTATTTTGACGGGGGTAGTTGGGGGAGGAATATCATTTCTGAAATGCCCAAGGAATGAAGGGAGAGGATATGGATTTCTTAAACAGTTTTTGCAAGAGGAGCGGTGTCTTGCTCTGCAGGTAAATCTATAAGGCTAGAAATTGGAGCTTACAGATAAACAAGGACCAGGACGAGAGGGAGAGGGAGGGAAAGGGGAAGGAGGAAAGGGAGAGGAGACAGGAGAGGGCATGGGGAGATGGGGAAGGAGAGAGAGGGGAGAGGGGCGAGAGGGGGCGAGGGGAAAAGAAAGGGAAGGAAGAGGGAGGAGTGAGGGAAGAAAGGGGAAAAGGGGAAGGGAGGGAGGGGAGGGGGAAGGGAGGGATAGAAGGGGAAAGGGCTGAAATGGAGAGGGAGGGCAGGAGCACTGGGAAGCAGTCTGAGAGGGGAAAGGACTGAAAAAAGAGAAATGGAGATGAGAAGAGGGAGAAATGAAACAGAGAGGAAGGGAAGAGAGAAAGGTGGTGAGGCACATAAAATATGGAGACCAGGAAAGCAGTTAGAGTCCTGGTGGCTGAACATAAAGAAACCACAGAGCAGGTGAAGGGAGATACTGTGAAATGGGGTAGAGAAAAGAAAGGACGCGTAGTAGAGGGACTGTCTCTTTAGTGACCAGGCACAGTTTTTAAAAATCAGGCTGCAAGACTTTAACATTTCCTCTATAGGGAAACTCCCTGTCCCCTCCTCCTTCCCTCCGTACACCTCCTCTAACATCCACCTCCACCTCCCTGCTTTCACCTTTCTTTTCCTAGCATACCTTTCCCTGGAGAACCCACCAGTAAATTCTGATACTTATCTACCCTCCCAAAGCACCCCACCCTCAAGAGCCCCTTTCTTTGTTCTGTCCTCAAAGGGTCCCGGGTCCTCTTATCTAAAGATTGGGCTGGTTGTGACATTCTGCACATCATTGTAACCCAGATTCTACGATGTTTCCTTTAAACCCAGGATATCAGGAGTGTTTACTTATATTTACTGCCACAGTGGAGCTGGCCAGTTTCCATCAGCATTGTCCTCATTATTATTAGGGGGCTTTGAGGAAAGAGAAAAGCCAGTCCACACTGGCATTCACCTGCAGAATGGAGCATTAAGAGAGAGAGAAAGAGAGAGAAAGAGAGAGAAAGAGAGAGAGAGAGAGAGGGAGGGAGGGAGGGAGGGAGGGAGAGAGCTGGAGAGACCCCTTAATATGGTCACTGATCTTCTTTGACTTTCTGATTCCAAAATCCCATCCCTTGAGGGAAGAGCTCAGCTGGGAGCCAGCCAAGGAGCGTAGTAATAAAAGCCGCCCAGAACACAACCAAATGCAGGATCTATATATAGGAGCCGGATCTGTTTTAGCTACTTGCAGTCTAAAATGACACCCGGAAACAAACATTTCAGCAATATGTTTATTGGAATCCTATTCAGCTAGTGCTGGAAAAGAGTGCGTTTCTCTGAAGCCTCTCTCACTAGAAGGCTCAGGGTTGTTGCTTTCTTCTCCCCCTTTCCCAATGCTCCGAGCTGGGAGTCTGCCTCTGTCCTTCTGGAGATAATTTGAGACTCCATGGTAACCTATTACGACCCCCTTGTTTCATGGATAAGGCAAAGCCACACAATTAACGGTAGGACCAGATACAGCATTTAGATCTCCCTGCGCTGTTTGTTTTCCTCCTCTTACTATGAACTGTATCTTCACTAGTTTTGGTGGTCTGCCAGGCACATGTCATTGGATAGGAAGGCAAAATCAAAGGCTGGCCTCCGGTGTTCCACATCCAGGCAAAAATGCCCAGCAAATATATATTGGTGGTATGTATTCTAGCTCGGAATCACATAGCACTCAGAAAGAAATGCAAATCTGGATTTCATGCTCCTCCCTGTGTGCATTTTGAGCCAAGAGAAGCTCTGTCTTCTTATCAAATTGTTTTGTGCTCCACAAGTTAGAAAATCCTATTTTCTCTACAATACAATTACTATTATTAGTGGTTGTGTTTTGAAAACTGATTTTCATCCTAATTGATCAAAGCACTCTGGAGACAGGTTAGACTTACACACACCTGGGAGGAATAGTATGTTGGAGAGATCTCTATGCCCTAGTGACAGTCCCTGTTAGCTAATGTTACCTGTAAGATTTTGAGCCCTGGAATCATGTTATAGAGTCCTTTAGTTGGGGAAGAGCTCAACAGTGGTTGCAGATCCTGCTCCACTCTGCAAACAAAGTTTCTATGAAGATTAGCTACAAATACGATTGCCTTCTCACCTGGAATCTCTTCAAAGGGCAACTTTAAAAGAACAACAAATAGACCTGTACATATGCTTTTCCTCTTACCTAACGCACATGTGTGTGCTTCTTTCTTCCTAAGGATACAATATAAATGCAAAGTAAGTATTGTGCCCATTTTATAGGTAAGGACGTTAAGGATGAAAGGAGCTAAACAATTTACTCACACACCTGCAGTCAGTAAGAACACCCGTCAAGACAAGTCTCACATGCATTATGTTAAGTGAACAACAGCAGACTCAAAAGGTCACATAGTGTGTGATTCTATTTCTGTGACAGCCTGAAAGAGACAAGACTATGGGGACAGAGAATAGGCTGTTGGGTGCCAGAAACTGAGGGTTGGGAAAAAAGTTAAATAAAAAAGCAAGAAGCTTTGGAAATTATGGGACTATTCTCTAGTTATATTGTGACAGTGATATATGTCTGTATGAATTTGTCATTGTGTGTTTTTAAAAGGTTACTATATCTAAATTTTGCCTCATAAGTTGAGAGGGAAGGGATAGAACCAGAAGTGAGCCTGAGTCTTTTTTGTCCTCAGTACTAGGGTATCAAACCCAGGGTCACCTGACCACTGAACTACATTCCCAGCCTTTTTTAAATTCTTTATCTTGAGACAGGAGCTTACTAAATTACCCAACCAGGACTGAAATTTGTAATCCTCCTGACTCAGCCTCCCCTAAATGCTGGGATTGCAGGCATGTGCCACCATGCCTGGCTGGACCAAGGTCTTTTAATTTTGAACAGTGTTCTCTCTACACCCTGGAGGGGCACAAGACCAAAGCAGGGTATGGCATTACTTGTTGCTCGTAGATGCCCTTCTGTGTCTGAGCTTTCCACTGACCATTTTACCTAGACTCTGGGGGAACTTCTGAAAATAGACTGGATGGAGCACAGGACTGGTTAACAGTCACCATTCCATCAACCCGAATGACCCTAACAAATCAAAAATCCAACCTCTATAGAACACTGATCAATGATCATGCCCTGTTCTGCCTACCTGACCTGGGGGTACATTAATGACTGTTCTGAGATATCTGTAAGTAAAAAGAATGGAATAGAAGACCTATAAGTTCTCTCTCAGGTCACACTTGAGATTCTTCATTTTTTTTCAGCCCAAAATTTTTCAAAGATTTTGTCTTTTTTCAGTTATTAGAAAAAAACTAGCAGGTACCCATTTCCTATAAATGTACCAGAGATTCAAGTACTACACATTAGTAGTAGACATCCATGACATTTCTTTTGGCCCTTAAACAAAACCATAAGTGCAAATGTAACTTCATTAAAACACAATCATGCAGAAGCAGGGTAGCTTGTGGGGAATTTTTGTGACCTGGTGGGAAGAAAGATGTTCTGTATATCTTTGCCACTGTCATGTACTTAACAGATGAAATATTATAATACATGATATTAGTATAAAATACTTCAATATAAGCAATTTTTAAATGTGGTACTGTGCTAAAATTTTAAAATTTGTTAATTTCTCCAAGATGGTAATAATATTGGCAATAAGGCCTGGGATATAGTTCAGTGGCACAAGCACCTGCCTGGCAAGGACAAGGTCCTGAGTTTGAGTCCCAGTACCAAAAAAAGGAAAAAAAAGTTAGACAATAAGCAAACATTTATTACTTAAAATACAGCAGGCACTTTTCTGGTCACTTTATATATATTAACTGATTGTGAGGTATCTGAGTGAGGTTCTGATCCCCTAAGAAATGTTTTCCCAGCCTACAGCAG